ACTAAGTTTTGATATACAGTTGTATGATACTCTTATCTGCCTGTGGAAAAAAAAAAAGTAAAAAGTTGAAAAACTGAAAAGGCAGATATTCTGGCTGGTGTCTGTTACAGGCCACCCAGCCAGGATATAGAGGTAGATGAAATATTCTATAAGCAGCTGGGAGAAATCTAACACTCTCTGGCCCTTGTTTTAATGGGGAACTTCAACTTACCAGATGTCTGTTGGAAATAAAATGCAACAGGGAAAAAACTGTGTAGGAGGTTCAATGAAGTGTATGGAAAAGAACTTCTGACACAGCTAGTGAGTAAGCCAACCAGAGGACATGCCTTGCTGGAACTGCTGTTTGTGAACTGAGAAGGACTGGTGGGTGATGTGGTGGTCAGAGGCCACGATGATATGGACGAGGGGATTGAGTGCACCCTCATCAGGTTCACACACAACCAAATTGGGTGGGAGTGTTGATCCTCTGGAGGGTAGGAGGGCTCTGTAGAGGGATCAGAGGCCACGATGATATGGACGAGGGGATTGAGTGCACCCTCATCAGGTTCACACACAACCAAATTGGGTGGGAGTGTTGATCCTCTGGAGGGTAGGAGGGCTCTGTAGAGGGATCTAGACAGGCTGGATCTATGGCCTGAGGCCAGTTGTATGAGGTTCAACAAGTCGAAGGCATGGGTCCTGCACTTGAGTCACACCAACCACATGAAGGAGACCTTATTGCTCTTTACTGCTACCTAAAAGGAGGTTTTAGGAGGTGAGGATTAGCCTCTTCTCCCAGGCAATAAGTGATAGGACAAGAGGATATGGCCTCAAGCCAGGGGAATTTTAGGTTGGATATTAGGAAAAATTACTTCACACCAAGGGTTGTCAAGCAGTGGAACAGTCTACCCAGTTGCCATCCCTGGAGGTATTTAAAATGCATATAAATGTGGTACTTAGGGACATGGTTTAGTGGTGGACTTGGCAGTGCTGCGTTAACTGGACTCATAAAAAGTCTATCTTTTTTTATAGACCCCCTTTAAGTATCGAAAGGCTTTAATGAGGTATCCCAGGAGCCTTCTGTGCTCCATGCTGAACAACCCTAGCTCTCTCAGCCTGTCTTCACAGGAGAGGTGCTCCATCCATATGATCTTTTTTGTGGCCCTCCTCTGGACGTGCACGAACAGGTCCATCATAATGAACAGTCTTGTAAGTCTTGGAGTTCAACTCCCTCTGACTGTGAAGCCACAGGAAATTTTTTCTCCTGTTAATTAGTCACGCACGGATTGCTTTTGTTCAGAGGGGCAGACAGTCTCCAGGATCCCTTTCCTGCCAACACTCACGGTGGAAAAACGTGAGGTTTTTTTTCCATGTCTGGCATGTGTGTCTGAGTTCACTGTCTTCCTTCTGCTAGAGACATATGTAATGAATGCTGGAGACTGGAAATCAAACCTGTGGGCCAGTGACCTTATTAAGAAACACCTGATGTCTATAAGCTGGACAAGCAGTTGCCTTTACAACTCTGCTGACAATGTAGCTTGGAATAAGATCTTACAGGAGCAATTTATGCTTGTTAAGATTCCTAGAAGCTGTAGAACATGGCAGAACTGAAGCAGAAAATACATTCCATTTAATAACCAGAGAATTAACAGATACACACTGAAAGAGCATGTCTGTTACTGGTTCAGACCCAAATGCTGTCTGTTTGTAGGAAGTCGAGAATGGGGAAACTCAGATGAAGATAAAAACTGCCTTTAATTTTCATCCTTCAAAGCTCTTAATAAGGTGGTATATTAAAACTGTCTAATTGCAACTGAGGACAAAAGAATCTGAAGTGCCATCTGTCCTACCTGGCACATTTAGATGTTCAATATAAAAAGATGGCTTGACAAGTACTATACAGACATAGAAGCTTAATTAATTTAGAGGAATGAGAATGCTTTGTGTGTGTTCCAGTAAGGTAATACTTGTAGCCACATGTCTCTTTTTGTATTTTTCCTGCTGCTCAATTATCATTTAAAAATTGATTTAATTTTTGGAACTCTTCTTGGTTTAAATTTTGTACTCCCCACCAGATTAAGGTGCAGTCCAAACTCAGATTATAAAGAAGTTAAGATTATAATGTAATTGGGATTTCTCGTGTAGGAGAAACAGAGCAATGTGGGATGGATTGGCAGTGGTGATACTCAATGATAAGTCAGGAAGGGATTGTCAGTAGGTTGCTAGGAGGAAAGGAATGACTGCCCTTTAGAAAATAATATGCCAGCAATTAAAATATATCAGTTTGTCGGTTAGTGGATGAAATCTGGGTTTTTTTTTTTTAGAACTCATATTGCTTAAATTGAAATCAGTATATATTCAGTCATTTGCAACACAATTTTGTATGATGGACAGTAGCTTTTACAGGACAATGCTGTTGCACTGAGACTGACATAAGTGCTAATCAGTGATCACAGAATCACTGAATCAGTTAGGTTGGAAGGGACCACAATGGATCATCTGGTCCAACCTCCTTGCTCAAGCAGGGCCGTCCTAGAGCTCATGGCTCAGGGTTACATCCAGACAGTTCTTGAATCCCTCCTGTGAGGGAGAATCCACAGCCTCTCTGTGCAGTCTGTTCCAGTGCTCAATGACTCACACATAAAGAAGTTCTTCCTCATATTCAGGAGGAACTTTCTGTGCATCAGGTTTTGCCCATTATCTCTTGTTTTATTGGTTTCTGCCACTGACAAGGATCTGGTTCCATCATCTTGGCACTCCCCATTCATGTACTTGAATACCTTAATGAAGTCCCCTCTCAGTTGTCTCTTCTCAAAACTGAACAGGCCCAAGTACCTCAGCCTTTCCTTGTAAGTGAGGAAGGTCCCTTAATTATCTTTATTGCCCTCTGCTGGACCCACTCCAGGAGCTCCATGTCCCTCTTGTACTGAGAAGCCCAGAACTAGACACAGTACTCCGGGTGTGGCCTCACAAGGGCTGAGTAGAGGGGCAGGATTGCCTCCCTCGACTTGCTGGCAATATTCTTCTCAGTGCACCCAGGATTCCATTGGCCTTTGTAGCCACAAGGGCACATGTTGACTAATGGACAGCCTGTTGTCCACCAGGACCCCCAGGTCCATCTTCAAAGAGCTACTCTCCAGCAGGTCAGTGCCCAGCCTGTATATATAACCCTTGGGGTTATTCCTGCCCAGGTGCAGGACTGTGCACTTGTCCTTGTTAAATCTCAGTTGGTTCTCCTCTGCCCATCTTTCCAACCTGTCTAGGTCACCTCTGAAGGGCAGCACAGCCCTCTGAGGTATCAACCACTCTTCCCAGTGTTGTATCATCAGTGAACTTGCTGAGAAGGCACTCTGTCCCCTTGTCCAAGACATTAATGAGTAAGTTGAACAAAACCAGGCCCAGTATGGAACCCTGGGTGACACCACTAGTGACAGGCCTCCAACTAGACTCTGTGCCTCTCTCTGGGATCTGCTGCTCAGTCAGTTCTCAATCCAATTTACTGTCCACTCATCCAACCCACACTTCTTAAGTTTTCTGATAAGGATGCTGTGGGACACAGTGTGCAAAGCCTTGCTGAAGTCAAGGTAAACAATGTCCACTGCTCTCCCTTCATCCATCCAGGCAGTTGTTTTGCCATAGAGGGCAATCAGGTTGGTTAAACTCTACTTACCTTTAGTGAGCCCATGCTGACTAGTCCTGCTCACCTTTTTGTCTTCCATGTGGGCAGAGGTGGCCTCCAGAATGAGGGTTTCCATTACCTTTTCAGGGACTGAAGTAAGCCTGACTGGCTAGTAGTTCCCCAGATCCTCCTTCTTGCCCTTTTTGAAGATTGGTGTGACATTTGCCATCTTATAATCTTCAGGCACCTCTCCTGATCTCCATGACTTTTCACAGATGATTGTGAGCAGCCTGGCTATGATATCTGCCAGCTCTCTCAGCACAAGCTTATTTAATTTACAATGCTGTTCTGTTAAGCAAATATAACCTGCATGTCTAGTGAAAGATAAACTGAACTGTGGACTTTATTCCACTTACTGTATTGACTAGATCTTCATTACCTAACTTCATTATAGAAGCTTAGATGTTTTACTTAGATGTAGACATACTAATCTTGAACTATATTCTATATTGAGTATCTGAGATGAGTGTATAGTTCTCCTGAAAGAGATAAGGAAAGGATGCTTGACTAGGAGTATGCACGTACCTTCAGTTTCTGGTTTAAGGCATAAAAAGATCTGTTATGCTGATGAAAGCAAAGGTGGAAGAGCAGCATGTGAGCTTGTTACTTGTTTTTACTGCCTTGCCTGGGAATTTTATCTGGGTGCCTAAAAACTTAAGCTGAAACTTACTGTGTTTTTCTAAATACTATATAGTACACATAAAAGGCAGTCTCTCCAGCAGACTTCATGCAGTAATGGTTGTAATGCCTGTATCTTCACTTTGAAGTGATGGCAAGCCCAAGGTGGCTCGATTAGAGTTCTGCCTCAAAGCATGTATGTTAAACTTAGGAAAAACGATGCTTGGTGTGCCTGAAAATGAAAAATAGCATGGGACTGTATTCTGGTAGCCATGGGCTCAAGTTTCCCTAGCAGAAGAGCTGAGGCTGAGTTCTGAGCATAATGAAAAGTTGGTCTGTGAAAGAAGCCTACACTGCAGACATAGGAGTTTTAGCCTTGGATTCTGAACAATTCTGTTGCAAAAAAATTCATGTTACTCGTATTGCTTATGTATTTTCATCTGGACACTGTAAGCTTCTCTTGTCAGTTTTCCTAACCTATAAATATTGCTTTGTATTTCCTCACTGATGCTGTTTTCCAACCGAGACAGGTGCTTTTCAGTAACTGTACATTTCTATTCAGTAAGTTAAAACATTGTGTCTGTTCACACTGTAAAACATTATTATAGAATATTCTTATTTATTTGAAAATAGCTGAAATTTTGGAAATTTGTTTTGAAAGAAGGGAGAAAAGTAGTTTTACTCTGAGAACATAAAATGTGATTGATTCTCCCTCTCTTTCCAGGTACTCCCACTGGAAAACAGAATGAAGGACACCACACGTTTCCCACAGGCATTGAACATTGGTATGGGAATAGTCATGGCCTTGTACATCTCATTAGCCACTCTGGGGTATCTGCGCTTTGGGGATGAAGTCAAAGGCAGCATAACTTTAAATCTGCCACAAGATATATGGTAAGTGCATGTGTGATTTAAAAGCAATAATCTAGAAGCAGAAATGCTGCAAAGGTTGTTGCATGCCTCAGTGCTATCAGGCTTAGAACTGGTAGGTACTCTTCTAAAATATACTGTATATACTGTCTCTTTCTTCTACAGTAGAGCTGTGGTCCTAGCCATCGATTTCTTGCATATTACACAGACTTGCTTATGGAGACACATCAATGATCTTTGCTATAAAGTATTCCATCTCTAGCAGGAGCTAGTTCCAGGACTGCTGAAGGAGGGAATATGCAGTTACAACCATCTATATTGCAGTTCTGAAACCAGCTGCTTTTATGTTGGATATCATGGTAATATAGTGCTTTTTTTAGTGGAATCACTGAGCTTAGCAGGTAAACAACTGCAATAGAAGACATTAAAGCTGAATAGATTTGTACTTCAAGTGCAAGTCCATGGATAGTGTATAATAATGGCTTCCTATCAGGAAAATGAAGCTTATGCTTGCCAGTGTCTCAAGGATATTGTAATTTTAATTTAGCTTTTCATTTTTTTTAATGCTGTGGGAGCTCCACATGTCACATACTGCAGAAGCACCAAGGACTTTTTCAACTGGTGCATTGTTAGTCCTGTGTCTGTCCATGCATAGATAGATACTCTTTAACTATTCATTTAAATGTGACTCTAAATTTTTTTAGTACTTTTATGTCTGATGAGCCTAAAATTCGGTCTACCTGGAGTGGACAAGTGTTAAAACCAACAAGCTCTAATGTTGTCATCAAATAATGCCCTACGGGTTATACACTTGCATCTACTTGTTGTTCAATGTCTGTTGTGGCACCTTATTGAAATAGTGAAATCTCAAATTGGGCGAAACAAAAGCTGCTTTCATGAAATGAAGGCTGACTCCTTTTTGAATCTTTGAAAAAGGGAAGAACACATGTAAAGAATGTTCTTAATTTTCAAGTGTTATTTTTCACTCTCTTTTCTTCCTTTTCATTCCTTGGAGTCAGTGTGAGCTATGCATTTTTAATATTCTTAAAAAGTTTTGTTTAATTGCCTGTCTGATTCCAATGTTTAATACATGAAAGTATAATAAAATTTGTCTTGAAGGATGGATTTTTTTTTGTTTGCTAGAATTTTCATCTATTTCTTGTTGTTCTCTTGTTTTTTACTGCTGTTGTAGAAACTGAGATTTAGTCCTGAATTTTTTTCCATTTTATGGGACTGTTTTTTGTTTTGGGGTTTTTTGTTGGGTTTTTTTGTGCTTCTTTTCCTGGTTTTCCCGTGGTTCTGTTTCTTGAGGCATATTGCTCATCATATGTATTTATGTCCATTCATTGTACCTACATGCACATGAGGCTTAACAAGTCCAAGTGCAAGGTGGGGCAATCCCAAGCACAAGTATAGGCTGGGTGGAAATTGGTTTGGGACTAGCCCTCAGGAAAAAGTCTTGGGGGTGCTGGTGAATGAAAAGTCAACTGTGTCCTGGGCTGCATCAAAAGCAGTGTGGTCAGCAGGTTGAGGGAGGTGGTCCTCCCCCTCTGTGGTACTCTGGTGAGACCTCACCTGGAGTGCTGCATCTAGTTCTAGAAAGATTGTGACCTGTTGGAACAAGTCCAGAGGAGACCTAAGATGATCAGCAGGCTGGAGCACCTCTCCTGTGACATGGTGAGGAAGCTGGGGCTCTCCAGCCTGGAGAAGAGAAGGCTTTGTGGAGACCTTACAGCACCTTCCAGTACCTAAAGGGGGCTGGAGAGGGATCTTTCACAAGGGCATGCAGTGATAGAATGAGGGTGAATGGCATTAAATGAAAGGAGGGCAGGTTAAAATTAGATATTAGGAAGAAATTCTTTAAGGATGATGAGGCACTGGAAGATGTTGCCCAGAAAGGTTGTGGATGCTCCATCCCTGGAGGCAATAAAGACCAGGCTCTGAGTAACCTGATCTAGTGGAAGGTGTCCCTGCCCATGGCAGGGGGATTGGAACTGTGTGATCTTTGAAGTTCCTTCCAAGCCAAACCATTCTGTGATTCTATGACATTAAAAAAACCCCAGAAGGCTTCAAATGTTTACTGCATCTCTTCTGTCTATGTGATGCATCTGAAATGGAAAATACTTCTACTATTACCTGGCAGGGCTTGTTATTTGTAAGATTAGTGAAAAGTGTGTTTTAAATGGTAGCTTTGGGTTTATTTTTGCCTTAAGAGAAGTACTGTTAAAGGGAGGAATGTGGAATAAGGTAAGGTTGCTCCTCTGTTGCTTTTTATTGTGCTCGTGCAAGCAACAGAATGAACTTTATTCTGCATCCCTGCTGTCTAACAGAGCTGTTCATATATGAGTTTTCAAATAGCTCTTGGCTACAGTGCAGATATCATGATGATATTTATCCTGATGGCTTTGCAGGCCGAATGCAAAGAAAGAGATAATAAAAGAGATGGAAACTGGTACTCTATACGGTGGGGAATTGGCATTATAAGTTTAATATCCTCGAAGCTACTCAGGGCACATATATACAGATAACAAAGTCATCTGTTTTTGCCTTACCTTGGATAGTACCCCAGAGCACCAAACAAAATTAGGAGAAGCAGCTCAGTGGTGCACCCAGGAGTTGTGATGTACGATGCTGTGGCTGTGCAGTACTGTGAGTCTACCTGATATAGTACTGAGAGGGCAAATGGTTCCAATTAACTGTGCTAGCCAAACAAATTTCCAGTGAACCATATGACAATATTTTGCTGTTTGGTCGTCACATGAAAAGCCCTGGAGTTGCCAGTTTGAACTGGAGAAATGCAAGAAGCAGAGGAGATGTTTTACAGGAAGGCAGTCACGCGAAAGAGCTTGGAATGTAGCTAAGCAGTGAGACTTGGCTTATGAGTTTAATTCCAGCTGGACAACCTCTGTCTTAAAAATAAGCCTTTCCTGATAAAGAAAAATTCAATTTAAACTCTGCTGCTTTCTGAGTTTTATTTGATGTCCTCACAGATGAATTCACTGGAAGGCATACACAGGCCTTGGATTGGTTAAATTCTTAAGTTTAATTTAAATAGAGGACTGCTTATATTCTTAAAAATATTCAGCTAGATTGGTGCTTTTGGAGGGCCTTTTTTTGATGCAGTTCTAGTTTAGATTGTGTTTGGGAGTACAGATTGTCACTCAGCATAATGTATCACCTAGAAAAGAGTTTCAGCTTGTTTTTGCTGGTCTTTGTCAACTGTTTTTGAATCAAGGAATTTTGTTTTATCACAATAAATAATATTTCTTGTTTTATGTACAGTTAGCTGCATGGAATATCTTAGTAATTATTGTCACGTGGCAAGTCCTGCAGGATTTGCAAATGTAGAAAATGGAAAATTCTGCTTTAGTACTTAGCAGTGTCCTTCGTTTGGGTCTCATAGAATCATAGAAGGATTGTGCTGGGGAGGACCTTTAAAGATCTGTTCCAACCTCCTGCTGTGCGTAGACATATCTTTCACTAGACAAAGTTGCTCCAAGCCCTGTCCAACCTGGCCTTGAACACTTCCAGGGATGGGGCATCCACAGCATCTCTGGACAATCTGTGCCAGGGAGTTGCCACCCTCATGGTAGGAAATTTCTTCTTTATCCTTGGTTGGGTACTCATCTTCTTGACACTGAATAAGAAGGTTCTTTCCACCATCTGTCCTGTGTTAAGATGTAAGTGACAGTCTTTTTGCAACAGTTTCTGTACTGTGAATCCTTAAGGTTAACTGCCATAGAAACATTATAGCTTATTGAAGTTAGATAGGAGTTTATATGATACTAGTTCAAGAGGAAGTTTAGCATAATTAATGCCCTGTTTGGTCTAGCTGTATCGTTATGCAGGTTTTATTATACTACTTGCCAACGTTTCTACCCTTAAGATAGGTACCATGAAATCTAAAATGTAGAATTGGAAAGAGGTTTAGGACATATGAATGATTTAGATTTTTTTTTTTAAAAGGTAGCCTAAGGAGGCAGCTTTATCTGATTGGAATATAATATTAAATTACTAGTAAAATCACTTCAATAATAGAAAAATTGTTTCCCAGTTTGGAAAGTTTAAATCCTTGCATAGCTATAGAAAAATAGTTAGTGTAATGGAGATGCTTACTTTGGACTATTGTGTGTTTAAAGCTTTGAATTCTGTTTTTGAGTATCTCTGTAAAATTATTTTTGTAAAGGCTTGGGGTGGTCTGAAGCATGAGGATTAGAGGTGAATTGTGGGTAGCTGGTCACTTTTTCTTTCTTTAATAGCTAAAATCCATCTAAGCTTCTGGAATAAGGACAGTCATGCAGACCTGATAGAAAAGTGACTCTTTTTTTCCTCTAAATTTCTAAAAGCTGCTTAGCAATCAAGAAGTGTGTCACAAAAGCAGTGGCTTCTGAACTAGCTGTGCCATTATGTCACCATGGAAATTGATGTAATAGTTTTTATCTCAATTTGAATATGCCTTTGGGCCTTCATTGAGTTCTGTACAGTGATGGTCAAACCTTTGATAGAAATAATTTAGGGCCTATTAGTCCAAATCTATTTTTAGTTGAAGTGTATTTTTCTTTTTTCCGCCATATATGCACTTTAAATTCCTTCTCTGTATTTGTTCATCTAACAACAAGATGATTGGCTTGTTAGCAGTCTTTCAGTGTCATAAAAAGCAGAAAACTTACTGAACTAGCTGGCAGCCATAAGATGAGAAACAGCTAAGACTAGGCTGAAGGGGCTGTTCAGTTTCAGCAGCTATATTCCTCTGCTCCAAACTACTCCAGTGTACCAAAACCATTACTGACTTACTGCTCAGCACTTCCTTCAATATGTTGAAGGAAGGATGGTGGAGGCATCCTGTTGTGGTGAGAAGTAGCTGAGCTGTCCGGATACAAATTTTGCCATGTCATGCCATTTAGCCATAGGACAATGTACCAAAAGCAGTCCTGGCTGTATTTTATTTGCTAATAAGATACAGACTCTAATACTCAAAGGGGGAATGCTTTGAGTGACCCCTGCTAAGCTTTAAGAGATACAGAGATGAAGGGGCTATTTGTTTCCCTACTGCTGCTGTTTTTTTCTTTTCTTACTGATGCATGTTGACTTTGCTTCTGTTGAACCTCCTTTTAAGGTGTGAAGCAAAAAAAAAAAAAAAGTATCATCATCTTCTGTTAAAACAGGCTGTTTGTGAGAAATATTCTCCTCATTTGTGGACACACAACACACCATGGCAAATGAGCCAAACCCTTACCCAAAGTTTTGATCGTGTCCTTAGCTGCATTCTTAGAAAGAAAATCATACAAAGTGACTCATGTCTCCTATCAGTTCGGTGAAAGAAGAACTATGACATATGCTTGTAGTTTATGCAGCATGGATTAAAAGTGCATCTAAGTTTAAAACATGACAGCATGGACAATTCTTTGTCACTTGTTTACTCAGCCACAAGCAGCAGTGGTAAGGGTGTATATACTTCTTGTTTATTTCAAGATTTACTCTGGTTGGCTTATCTTTTGTAATTTCTTAGACAGTTACAGTGTTACCTTCTTATTTGCTGGGGAAAAATACATTTTTCATATATATATATATATGAATATATGTATATGTAATCTTAGTGCCATTAGCAAGCTAAATTTTTTATGAAGAGTTTGCAACTTACATGAATGTCTGTAAATGTTTTCAACAGGTTGTATCAGTCTGTAAAAATTCTGTACTCCTTTGGGATTTTTGTGACCTATTCGATTCAGTTCTACGTCCCTGCGGAGATTCTAATTCCAGTTGTCACCTCCAAAGTGAAGCACAAGTGGAAATTATTCAGTGAGCTTGTGGCGAGGGCACTATTAGTCTGCTCAACCTGTAAGTATGTGGAGAACACCCATGAAAAAATTGCTGTTACACGTTGTTGGGGCTTGTTTATTTAAATATGTTTTGTTGTTTATTTTTCCAGAAGCTAGCAAACCTGAAAATTTTATTTCAACAGTTCACTATGTTTTGACTTTCATGAACAAATGTTTCTAATTCTGTATTTCTGTTTTGACCAGACTTGTTTAGTAGGTGTGACCAATTATTTGACAACCATATCTTTTGCCAGTAATATTCTTAAGTTGCTAACTTGAAAATAGTTTTTTTTTCAAATGAAAGTTTTTAAGCGAGACACACATTGCTCATACACATAAGTGTTTATCTGTGTGGTCTGCAGTACCTGCTGTCAAGGAGAAATCCTTTCTCTGTTCTGTTGATCTGAGGATTAAGGCTAAGGTGAGCTGATCTGTATTGATGAAATAGCACTGACAGACGTGGATGTCTGGTCACAGGGTTCATGGAGGGCCACTTATTTTAGCTGGTAATGCGTCAGAGTAGTTTTGCATCTTTGCCCTCACTGCCTGTTACTTGTATTGTCTTTCTTGCTTGTCCCCTACTCTTTCTATCCCTCCTACTGTGTCCCTGCTTTCTCACAGCTAGTCTTTGATATCATAGATACTGGTAGGAGTCAGCAGTGCTCACTAAATGTTGAGCATGGTTTCATCTAGGAATTGATAGTGCTGAAGCTAATGAACTGCAGAGCAAGTTTAGGTTTGTCTTGACAGCTCCTATCTAAGGTGCTGAATAACATAGGAAACTTTTCTCAAAGATGTTATTAAAAATTTGTTTCTAGTACAAAGCTGGCTTTTTGACTCCACTATTTGTATTGAAATGCACTGTTAATACCTTAAAACCAAGCTAAATTGCCAAACAAACAAAAAAGTGCTAAGCCTTGTTTTATAGGGAAAAGTATTGATGAAAAAGAAATTTAATTTTTGTTGCGTCCATTCTCTTGGTGAATGCTGCTCAGTAGCTCGTGTGCTGGATGACAGCTAAGACATGTTGTCAAAAAAGCCTTTAATGTCCAATGAGATCTTCCTAAGGTCAGGTCTGTTGAGTAAAACAGTTTAATGTTGGTGCAATTTAATTACTACAGTCTGCAGAGGGAAATGCCATTGATCTAATAACTTGCTGCTCTGAAAATAAATCTGCTCTGTGAAATTTAAAAGTGGTCTTGAATAATGAAGTGCAAATCTCCTGAAGCACCATATAGCCTGTGTTCTGCTTCAAGGGTTCAAAGCATTAAGATTTTAAGACTGAGGATAGATGAATAGCTCTTGTAACACCTGAGCAACATCTAGATCAAAATGCTTCATGGTCCAAAAATTTTTTTAGTGTCTCTCCAGGACCCCAGTGAGATCTCCAGGTTTAACAGGACCTTGGTGTCATGAGGCCCTCAACTTCCACTCATTCTCTATTGCCCTTTATGTGCTCCTTATCACCTGCCCTGTTAATGATGCCACAATAGAATTGAAAAGCTAAAAATCTTGTAGATCCAAACTGTTGTTTACAGCCTGAGGTTTTGAGAGTTTATAGGTGAAAGATATTTTCAGATATGTGTCTGAGAAGAGCCAGTCGTGAATAGGCTTAAATGCACATTTCCCTGTTTAACTTGGGAAAATTATAAATGACTTAATGATCTTCAGCCATAGGTTTTAGTTTTGTTTTGTTTTCTTAATTTTATTATCAGCCTTTAAAATTACTGGGTAGTCTGGAAAGGAAAAACTAGGGAAGAGCCTTCAAGAAAAGAAAGAAGTAAAAGGAAGAAAATTTGCACTATGTAGCATTAGAATGCTATATCTTTATTTCTCTGAAAAAAGTGTGTGTAGTAACATTGGACCTGGTTTATGCTTTTGAAACTTACTTGTGATGTGAATCTCTAAAGTGGACTTGCTGAAATGTTACAGGTGTCACTGGGATATTTGAGGATATCGAATTGTTTGCTGCAGGGCACAGAAAAGCAAAATTAAAAGTTTGCGCTTAAAATTTTGATATTTGCCAGGCTATTGTATGATATGTTGTATTTATCCTAGTTGTCATTTCAGGTTTTTTTTTCGAGTGGTTTATACAAATTGGGTGCATGTAGTATATACAATTACTTTTTTCACCGATGACTGTGTAAGCTCTCATGCTTACATTAATCTTCTGTTTGTCATTTTTCATTTAAGCACTGATGTTAAACAGAACTGATACAAATAATGTTTCACTTTCACTAAGCGCAGGACATGGTTCCTAAAATGGTTCAGAAAGTGTTTCTTTAATAGAAAATTAAAATCCAAAACCTTTTAAATTGAATTTCAGAAATTAAATGGTTTTGATATCAATGGCTGAATATGTTGTAATGTCTGGGCCATTCAGAGATCATACACTGATTAAAGGGACTCAGCTTTTTTTGAAAATAATTCTGTGAGAAGAGAATTCAGCTGTGTTGCTAATAATGCATTAGCTTTTTAAGAGAAGACTTGGAAAAACAGTTACTAGTAATTTTGGGGGGTTTTACATTGATCAAAAATTAGGTCATTGTTTTATTGTTGCAGTATATGTTGTTAGGAAAAAGCATAACCTGTGGTCTCGTTTTGTGTGGGTTTGGGGGGGGTTGTTTGGGTTTTTTTGTCTGGTAAGGTTTATTTTATGGAAGGACTTGACAATTACATGCACCAAAAAGCCATAGGTGTCACTTAGGGCTTCTTATTCTTTACTCGCTCATTTTTGGATAGTTAGCATTGCAGAAGGATGATCACAGGTATCTTTCGCATTTTTAGATTTAAATGTTTTGCTTCCTCTGCTTTTGTTTCACAAACGAGACCTTATCTGTAGCATCCTGTGGGAAATACACTTGACCCCTAATGTCTGCAGTCTGAGCCAAGCCTTCAGGTTTGTGACAGGGAGGAGTGTACCCAGCCCAGCATGGCTGGGCTGACTGGTTGTTGCTATCGGGATAGGTTAGTCTTGGCTCGCTAAGCCATTCCCAAGGAGCAGTGAGATTATTTGGAAACTCTTTCTGGACAGAATTGATATTTAAAGGTATTCAGAAGATTGGGTTTTACCATATTGGAAAGGAATTTACAAATAGATGTAAGAATAATGTTCACAGTAGCTGTCTTAAATTTCACGTCTGTTCTTAGCAGCCTTTTCCAGACTCTGACATTCCCTTATTCAAGGTAAAGGCAAATACCAAGGAATATTTTTGCTGGGAGAGTCCTAGACTGGCAAAGACATGCTTTTCCTTTTGTTATAGCCCCTTGTTTGTACTTTATGAACAAGGAAACAGTGAGTGCAAATGACTTGGCAGACCTTGTTCCCTATAGCTTTTTTCCCTTCTTCCAATTTAGTTTAATGTTAAAATAACATTTTAGTATTGCATGGGTAAAAATGCAAGTCAAAGACTTTCGAATTTTAAGAAAGAGGAGGGAAACGGGGAGTTTCTGCTTCATTTCATAGTGAACTATTTAATTTGAAAAAGACATACATTTCTTCATTTTTGCTTGGATTTCACTATGTGTGGTGCAGCAGGTTGGATGATCACACCATACATGCTAAATCTTGACACTTGGCCATTGTTTTACAAACCGAGATGAACACCTTGTGCACTGAGTCTGAAGGGATGACCTAGGCTTATGTTAAAAGCCTAGAGCTGGAAACTGGGTTTGGTAGCTGTTGAAAGCAGGTGGGTGTATTTCTAGCTAGCTAGGCAGAAATAGGATTGAAAGTTGAACTAAGCATCACTGTGGTGGGCAAAATTAGAAATTAGGAACACATTCAAATAGAAGGAATAGGACAAGAGCCACCATGGGATTTGGAAAGCACTGAGAACAGTTATGTGAGCGCAGTATTGTGTGGATACTCACTAACTGCCTTTGGGTTGTGCTTGGAGGTTTATCACTACAGGAGTGCTCCATGTAGATGATAAGGATTTCCAGCAGCTGCTTGGAGTCTCTGCCTGATGGCTTGCCAGCTTTGGCTTTTGGTAGATCAGTTCAGCTTGTGGTAATAGTTACAGACACTCCTCGTAAGACTTAAGAGGACAGAAAATCTCTGATCGTGCTCCGACAGTACAACCACATCCTTGTGGTTTCAGTAGGTTCTGTTACTGTTGCATATGCATTTTTATTTGAAGGGTAAATGCTTTTCGTTAATTTTTCTCACAGGTTTTGCGTACCGTTTGTGGTATTTGAGTGTCAGATAACTTCAGTACTTTGAAATATTATTCAGGGTGGAATTCTTATAATGTTGAAATTATTTACCCTGATTTTATATATGTAAAACATATCACAGCAGAATGGTCTAATGTTAGTATTCATCAAAACCTTACAAAGCCAAGTGGTTTAGTCCTTCCTTTCAGTTCTTTGCTTCAGCTGACATCAGATCTTCTTTAACAGTGGCTCTGACATGGAGCCAGACAAGATATTAATTGAAAATTCTTGTGTTTTAAAAGCCTTAAATAGAAAGTTAAGGTTGTAAATTAAATTCCTGAATAGTTAAAACAAGTCCTGCTTTATATGTTGGAGTTTTTTTATTTACTACTTCAAGTGTAGGTTGGACTTACTTCTGTTCAGGTGTTAATTAGGATTGTGTGAATAAATTCAGATTTTGAAGTGCAGCTCTTTTCCATAAAAAATTTTGTAAGTAGGGGACAGGCGGAAAAGTAAGGGCTTGAATATATTACTGGAGATACTCAAGAACTACCTGGATGCAATTCTGTGCAAGGTGCTTTAGGATGACCCTGCCTTGAGCCAAGAGGTTGGACCAGAGGACCCACTGTGATCCCTTCTATTCAATCCCATTTTCCCTTTCTAACAATAATTTTAAAAGTCTGCTTTTATTGTTTTGTTCCAGTTTGTTTTCCATCTCTGTGCATACAAATGTAATGAAGTGGTGATAATGAAAATTCTTTGTCCAAATAACAAATATGTATATATATCTGTATTCTAGCTCATGGGAAGTGAACTATGTTTGTAATATTTCAATAATTCATGACTTTGTGTCTCTCTATT